GAATAGCCGGTTTGACCGGGTACGGGTACGGGTATGGGCAAAACCCGATATATTAAATCGGGTACAGGTACGAGTATGTACTTACCCGCCCTGTACCCGTCCCCGTTCCTATTTTTAATTTAATACTCACTTTTAATTTAATTATATTAAAAAATTTTAATATTTTTTTATGTGTGATTATTTATTATAATATGAGATAGAGAAATAACTTAATTATAATTATAATATAATAAAAAATTAATTTAAAAATATCATATTTTTTTTACAAAAAATAAAAAATAAAAAAATTGACAGGTATGGGTACGGGTACGTGTATATCCGATACCCGACGGGGACGAGGATGGGGATGAAAATCACATACCCGATGGGTACGAGAACGGGGATGGGGATAGGTTTGACTCGCGGGGACGGGGACGGGTATCATGAAACCCGTACCCGACCTGCCCCGTTGCCATCCCTAGTCACGGACGCGATTGACTCTGTTTGAGAATTTTCTTCAAGAATTCCTTACTTTTGAAGGCTAAAATGTATATTAAAGTTGTTCAAGTTGTAAATTCAAGTTGATTATGTTGTAAGTTTATTTTTAGTTTTCAAGTTGATGAAGTTGAAAAACCTATATGATAGTTGTTTTAGAGTTGTAAGTTGCTATGCTAATAAAGTTGTTTATTGAAGTTGTGTATAAGTTGTAAAGTTGTATTGTGATTTATGTGGAAAAGTTGCAAGTTGTATAAAGATGTTTAGTTGTCTAAAGTTGTTGAAGTTGCTTAAAAGGTTGTTAAGTTGCTTAAAAGGTTGTTAAGTTGCCTATAGTTGACAAGTGGATTATATGATGCATATAGTTGCTCAAGTAGTCTATTCAAGTTGATGTTATGTTGCCTATTGTTGTAAAGTTGTTCCAAGATGACTATTGTTGTAAACTTGGGGACATATGGCTAAGATATATGCCCTATGTTGAGATACATAGTACTAAGGTGATAAGTTGAAAGTTGTTTTTAAAGTTGAATCCCTTAATACTATGTGGGCGACATGGAAGTAGTTGATCCATGTCATGGTTGAATGACCAATTTGAGTAAGGTATCTAGTTAGAGATGTAGTCTTTGACTAGGTACTGGAGGGTGCGTGGTATTTGAAGGGCAGTGGGTGGGCTAACTCCATATGTGGATTGGTGATGCAAGCCAAGGCCGTGGTAGGCCCACACCTAAACCCTTCTACCTTGATAATAGTATTGGACCTCCGAGTTTGAGTGGCACACTTAAGCAATCGCCTATTGTTGTCTATACCTGGTTCTCTTCAGAGTTCCTAATTTTGCCATATACCCGACCTGGTTAAGATAGGTCAAATGTTAGATTTGGTAGGGTTCATGCCACCTAGACTGTGGACACATTTTGGAATCACTTTGTCCTTACAACCATCGCTCAAACTACTCTTTCTCTCTCTACTTAAGAAACTATACTACTTAAAAAACTACTCTTTCTCTCTACTTAAAATACCCTGTGACACAAAGTATATATGTCTCTTTTACACTAGTATAGTTTTTTATGTAGAGAGAGAAAGAGTAGTTTGAGGGATGATTGTAAGGACAAAGTGGTTCCAAAATGTGTCCACTAAAAAGGGTAATCCCTTTATTAATAGTGTTTGTGTATGTGGAGAGGAGGAGGAATCCGTTTACTCTATGAGTAAGTCTACTTAAATTTACCCTGTTCAATAATTCATATTTTACATTAAATTTCAACAATCCAACCGTTAAATTTAAAATTCTTAATGCATAGATCAAGTTTAAAAATTTGAAAACTATTTGATGCTTCATTTCATTAATTCAAATTGATGGATAATTATAAAATTATTTTATACATTGATTTAAATTAATGAAATAAAATTTTAAGAATTTTAAATTCAACAGTTGAATTATTGAAATTTGATATAGACTTATTCTTGGAGTAAACGGATTCTTCCTCTCTCTCTTTGTCTCTCTCTCTCTATCTCTCTCTATATATATATATATAATGAATCAGGTAAGAATACTTGCTAATATGAGAATATGAGAACAACTAATAACAACCCTTAGATTAAAATCATTTATATTAAAAATTATATATAAAATTATCATATACCACTACCATCATAGTTTTTTCTATATTTATTGCTATTATTAATTTTATTACCTTCACCTTCATCACACCTTAGCCATATCACCACCACCACCACTACAACTACTGATACTACCACCATCATCACTATCGTTACCGTCGTTCCTGCCACTACAATTGTCATTGCTGCCACCAGTGCCATTGATGGTGGTGGCAACAATGATAGCGACAATAATGGTAATGACGATGAAAACGATAATGGTGGTGACAACATAGACAATGGTCTAAGTGACGGTAACGGTGGTGACGATGGTGGTGGTGGTAGTGACAATATGGTAGTGGTGGTGGTGGCGACTGGTAGGGGTAGTGATAACAACAGTCGTGGTGGTGGAAGCGATAATGCCGATGGTAGTGGTGACAATAATGATGGTGATGTACCAAAGATGTAGTGGAGGTGGTGATGATGTTGATGGTTCCAATAATGAGAATGAGAACAACAATGATAGAGAACTACATGTCGACGATACATATTAACATTTTTTTTTTTAATTTAAACTGTTTATTTTAATCTAAAATTTTTTATTAGTTATTTGCATATTCTCATATTCTCGTATTAACTAATGTTCTCACTTGAATCTCTCCTATATATTTATATACACACACAACACCCTATATTTGAGAGTAAGAAACATGATTTTTTTTCCATTTTACTTATATTCAAGACCTAAGAAGATATTATTGGATAAATAAGTGATAATATAAATTATTTTTAAAATTTATAAAATGTAAAATTAATATTTTTTAGCTTAATATATTTTTAGCTTTCAAATTTAAAGTAAATTTATTTTTGACTCCTTCCATTTAACATTGTTTTTAGTTCTTTAAGTTTACAAATTTTGTTTTGGTTCCTCAAACCATTAGGACATTGGAGGCTTGAACTTGGCTGGTTCTTCGGAAGATCTAATTGTATAAGATCTTCTATTGCGGGTAATTTTATTTAAGTGACAGGAACTTATAGAAGAATGGATGTATTTCAATTTTTAATTAAAATTAAATTTATATAATAAAATATTATAAAATCTAATACAACTTTTATTATTGTTATACAGTAAATTTTTTTTTAAAAAAATTAACATTAATGACATAACGTATATTTATTATAATGTTATAATTATAATTTTATATATCAATGTATAAATAAAACTCATTATATATTTTTTACTCATGAACTCCCTAATTTTTCTTCTTCCCTCTCATTCTTTATCTCTTAAAATCCTTTTTCTTTCACTTTTTATCTCTTAAAATTCCTTCTTAAGTTAAATAAATTATTAAAATATATAAAAATGTAAGATTTTTTTTGTGAAACCCATTTAAGAATTGAAAGAGAGATGCTAGATTAAAAGAGAAAAATATTTATAAAGGTATTTAAATTGAAAAAAGTAAAAATAAATTATGTATATATGTGGGTCTCACTTACAAACTTAAAGAATCAATTTTTATTAGAGATGACTTTATTAGCTTACAAAATAGTGACATATTTAAACAATTATACAGTATCAACTACGATATTTTTACTAATAAAAGCACTAATAAATAAATTTTGTATAATAGTAATTAATAAACTATTTAACAAAATTTGAACATAAAATTTAAAACAATATACTTTTAAATTACAAAAGTTAAAAAAAAATTATAAATTTGCGAAACTAAGAAGAAATTTATTTCATATCTAAAGTGTTAAAAATATATCGAAGTTAAATATTTTTAAGAATTGGCACGAAATTTGATAATATTCACAAAATTTAAAAAGAAAATTGATAGAAAGCAGTTTAGTGAAATGTTAAGATAAAATAGGTTGGGCCAGCTAAGATCCGATGTGAGAAGTGTATTGTTCTCGTAGATCGCGTCCCACCAATGAGCGTTTCCTCCCAACTGCACGCACTGCAACAGAAGCAGAACACCATTATTCACATTTCACATTTCGCAATTCACACTCACACACACCTTCACCACGTTCCACATACCAACACTCAATCAAACATTTCTATAATCAAAGTCTGAATTTCTTGTCCTCTAACACTCTCACCCCTTGGATCCCTGACACTCACATTCATCATTTATATATACAATTACAAAATCAATTCTGTTTACAACAATCTTTCAAATACTAAGGCGGTTACTTTTTTTTTCTTTCTTGTTTACAATATCATATAAAATTTATAAATTTTAAAAACATTTTTCTTCTAGCTAATAGTAAAAATGGGTCTTACAATTATTTCATCATTCTTGAGAACAATTAAGAACATTGTTTGTATGATAAACCATTATTATGTAAAATTATAAAGTCAATAACTTCAATTGCAAAATTACACCAGAGCTTATTCATAAGTTTAAGAATCCTATAAATAAATTACTTTTTATCAGAAATACTCTCAAGAAAATAAGTGCCTTTATTAAATTTCCTAATAAAATATTGTTAGAAGTATATTTTTATTATCATGTAATTCATGCAAATTTCATAAAAAAATTAAAATTATCAAAACCAATGCATTTTTTAATGTGAATATCTTAATTTATTTTTCTACATTTCTTATTGAGCCAAATTTTCCCTTAAATATCTTTATTTTATTTATTTTATTTTTTTAAAAAAATTTCTCTCACTTTTACATAATTTCTGATTATGGGATATCTCTACACTCATTCATTATTCATATAGCTTTCTTTTTCTTTCTATTTTTATTTAAAATAAAATACATAAACACAAAATATCTCTTCTCCATTAGTTAAATAAAAGAAATTTACCCACAAATTCTTTTAACTTTTTTAAAACATTGGTTTGAGGACCCATACAAAATCCAAGTGTTTGACCACGACAAGAACAAAGCCTCTTCCTCTCCCTCTCCCTCCACCTCACATCACAACACAACACAACTCAATAACTCCCTATTTCCCACCACTTTCTCTCTCTCTCTCATCTCTTCTAACCCTCCAAAAGCTGCAACCTTCCTTTGTTTTTTCCTCACTCTCCCTTCAACCTTCCAACTTTTCTAACCCCTTTCCATTGTTTTCCATTCTCGGTTTCTTTGCAATCACACCATACTCAAACTAGAAGCACTCTTTTTCTGCTTATAGCTAGTGAGTGGTTTTTTCTGAAGAACCTTTGATGGCCCTGAGGCTTATTGTTTTCCTGCTTGCAACATATGTGCCTGTTTATGGAGGCAAGTCTTTCACTTTTCTTCCTTATTTGTTTTTCTTCTGTGACTTTCACCTTCTATTTAGTGACCTTAATGTAACTATGTGTATTAATTCTCTAAAGGGCTTTCCATTTCATGAAGTCTAATGCTTGTGAGTGTGTGTGTGTGTGCTTTTTTTTTTTTTCTCTTTTGTTTTTTCCTCATTATGTGGGCTTTGTCCTTTCACTAGTGTACCACTTCACCTATGAAAGTTGTGTTTTTCTATCCTGCTCAGGATTCTCCATGTGGGGTTTATTTGTATGTTTTTGTTCATAGGTCAAAAGTGGCATTGTTATGAACGATTAATGCAACAACATTCTAACAATGCTAATGCCCTCATTCTAATGTCTAACACATTTTCTTATAGGTTAAAATTTATGTGAGTGAGAATCACATTTAATATGTGGGTCCATTTCGCATTTAGTAGGCGTCTTTCTCATATTAGTGACTATTGGAAATTAAGGTTTTATTAACAAAGAATGTTGAATAATTATTACATGATTCGGTATGAATTCTCTTGAATTAAAAATCTCGGTTACATGAAACATGAAAATTACTAGTTGTGACCATGTCCGTGACGAAGTAATAATTTTTGTGAATTTCACATGAGTTTCTTGTGGTCATTTTGTATATATGGTTCTTAATATAATTCTTTGATTGCATTAGTATTGATATGAGAAAGGAGGAACAGAAAGCATGGTAACCTTTTATAAAGGCATAACCTTGCTACATGAGCATGACAATGCTGAATTAGAATGTTTGGGAAACGCTTGGCGTAGGTTGGTATTTTAATTAATTTGTTTTCCTTTTCCCTAAATGAGTTTTTTTTAGATAATTTTTTTTTTCTGTTTTTCTTTTGTGCACAGAATCTCCGCCCTGTCCTTCCTGTTTTCTAGTGGGATTTTGGAATAATGTCATTGCGTCCCAGCTCAACACACTGTTCTTTTGCAGTTTGCACTTAACTACATTTTCGTGAAAAACCAATGTCATGGACTTAAATACCCTTACTCAATAGGGGTGGTGGAAAATATAATCAATTGGATGTTTCAAACAAACACAGCAAACACAGTGATACTAACTGCATGGTTTAGCTTAATTTGGAAAAAATAATCGATTATTTCTTTTGTCTGTTTGAGAGAATTTTTCGAATAATTAGTGATTATTTCTAGTAGTTATGTTATAGTAACATTTTGACCAAGCTTCCATGAGATATGATAATCAAAATACATCATTCTAACCTCTGCATTTACCCTGGGCAATGTAATATGTAAATTAAAGAAATTCTCATTTTAAAATTATATACTTGATAATAAAAATGAAATTTTTGCATATTTAATTTAACAATTGGTGCTTCTGATATGTGAGTTTTAAACCGTCCATCCTTTGAGTATTCTGGTTATAAACTTGATAATCAAAATAATTTTTTTTACATGTCATGTTTCATATCTCTTTTTCTCTTGTAATTCAATAAATTTTGAAAAAAATAGTGGATGGTTTACTAAGCATTTATAAAATTAAATAAATGAATTGGATCTAATCCATTATTTATTTATTTTTGACATGTATGAATGGGATGAATTTACATGCAGATGAATATAATGGATGTTGGATTAAATAGGGTTTGTTTGGATGAACTTCTCCAGAAACACTTTTAAGGGTGAAAAATAAGAAGAAAAAAACTTCCCCATAAGTTAAAATTACCTTCTCATCTTATTTTTAACTCATACATAAACTAGTTTTAACTTATGAAGAAGTTTATTTTAATTTTTCTTTATATTTTTATCCTCCTAAAAGTGGCTCTAAAGAAGTTTATCCAAACAAGGCTTTATTTTGTCATGGATGGATTTTATGAATTTACTTGCGGGTGGATTGAATGAGTGATGGTTAAATGGATTCTTTTGCCACTTGTAAATCATGGTGGGAAAAAATTAGCTTAACTCCTCTGCTCTTATTGTACTAATAATCCTTTTATTTTGTTTCTGAAGGTTGTTAAGTTTAGGATTTAGCATCTGTCTGTTAAAAGTTTAGTGCAAATTTATCTGCATTCTATGATTTTCCGTAATTTGAGATTAAGGATTTATGCCTAACTGATCTTGTAGTTGTATGTCATTGAAAATCAAGTTACATGCAGTAATGGGCTTAAAGAGTACAAAGAGAAATCCTTTTACATATTTAGATTCGCTGTAACTTATAGAAAAATTCATTTTTCTTCTTTTTCTATTTCTTTTGGATGGTTGCAGCATTTGCATTACTTATTATATCTCCAATTCACAGTTTTATTTCATATCTGTATCTTATGGTAACATTGACTCACTGTTCTGAATATGAGATACCTTTTTCTGTTGGATGATTTGGTTGTCAAAACTCAAAAGTCCTTCATTTGCTGCTATTTTTCTCTGCAGATGCTTTCATTGGTGTCAACATTGGCACAGACGTGACCAACATGCCAAGTCCAACAGAAGTTGTGGCCCTTCTCAAGGCTCAAGGCATCCAACATGTCAGACTCTACGACACTGACAGAGCCATGCTTCGTGCCCTCGCCAACACAGGAATCCGTGTAATTGTTTCTGTTCCCAACGATCTGCTACTCGGCATCGGCCAGTCCAACGCCACAGCTGCCAACTGGGTTGCTCGCAATGTGGTGGCTCATGTTCCTGCTACCAACATTACTGCCATAGCAGTTGGATCAGAAGTCCTAACTACACTCCCAAATGCTGCACCTGTCTTAGTCTCAGCATTGAAGTTCATCCAAGCTGCACTTGTTGCAGCAAATCTTGATCAGCAAATCAAAGTCTCTACACCACACTCTTCTTCTGTCATACTTGACTCTCTCCCACCTTCTCAGGCGTTTTTCAACAAAACTTGGGACCCTGTCATGGTTCCCTTGCTTAAGTTCCTGCAATCAACAGGCTCATTTCTCATGCTCAATGTGTACCCTTATTATGATTACATGCAATCCGATGGTGTAGTCCCTCTAGACTATGCTTTGTTCCGCCCCTTGCCTCCAAATAAAGAAGCTATTGATTCCAACACCCTTCTGCATTACACTAATGTTTTTGATGCTGTTGTTGATGCTGCATATTTTGCAATGTCATATCTGAAGTTCACCAACATTCCTATTTTAGTCACTGAGTCAGGGTGGCCCTCCAAAGGCGACTCGGCCGAGCCGGATGCAACAATTGACAATGCCAACACTTACAATAGTAACCTGATCAGGCATGTTCTTAACAATAGTGGGACTCCTAAGCAACCTGGGGTTGCAATTGGTACTTATATTTATGAGCTTTATAATGAGGACTTGAGATCTGGTCCTGTGTCTGAGAATAACTGGGGGCTGTTTTATGCTAATGGAGCACCAGTGTATACTTTGCACTTGACTGGTTCTGGTACTGTGTTTGCAAATGATACAACAAACCAAACATTTTGTGTTGCCAAGAGTAATGCAGATGGTAAGATGCTGCAGGCAGCGCTTGATTGGGCATGTGGACCGGGGAAGGTGGATTGTTCGCCGTTGTTGCAGGGTCAAGAGTGTTATGAACCGAATAATGTAGTTGCACATGCTACTTATGCTATCAATGCATATTATCAGCAGATGGCTAAATCTGCTGGGACCTGTGATTTCAAAGGGGTTGCTTCTGTCACCACCACAGACCCAAGTAAGTATAGTCTTTACATACTCGTGAATCATATCTGCATGTGATGTTGTTGGCTAGAATAGTATCAATGCATTTATTGGAAAAATTAGAGCATCATAACTATGGACATAATGAAAAAAATGCATGTTTACACTTTGCACTCTTGCACATGTAACACACCACAGCTAGTTTTGATGCATAATAGACATAAAATACAAGCTGTGTGGATTCTTATGAATCTTGTATTATTTGGGTGAAAAGTTTTTTTGCCAAGAGGTGTAAGATAGTGATGTTCAAATATACTCATATAGATCAGATTGTTTCTCAAAACTATCTGTTGAAACTATAGATGCCATATGGTAATTTTCTCTGCTCTTTTATTCTTTTTTAAAAGAATGTCAGTGATTGCAGTTTTTTAAATTTTAGTTACTTATGTGCACCCGTAGCGATTGCATTCTTTTACTTCATTGGGTTCAAAATTAAGTCCCTTAAAATTGCAAATTAATTTTTGACCATTTTAGTTTGAGTAAATTATATCAATTCTTAAAGTTTTTTGAAATTCCACATAACCTCCCTGCTTTTTTAATGTTTACAATAACCTCTCTTACAACACAACATAATGTTTTTCAAACAATTAAGAGAAGTTTGTGTCATGTCTAAGAGATATTGGTGTAATATTTTCAAACAATTAAGCAGGTTGGTGTGGGATAAAAAACAAAAAAAGCAGTGGTGCACATGCTAACATGCAATTTCATGAAATCATAAGAGGTGTCAGTATAATTTACTCTTTCAGTTATTGGTGCTTCTTTTGCAGCTTTTCTCCTTTTTGGCCATTTTCTTTTGACTCGTCTATTACACATCAGAAAATTCCTTTGTGTTCACAAATCTCACGTTCAAGTTGCTTAGCATTTTAACATAACTGATATTTATTGTATTATCATTGTTACAGGTCATGGTTCCTGCATATTTCCAGGAAGGTATAATTCCAAGCTTATGTTGATATATCTATCTATCTATATCTATCTATATCTATATCTATATATATATATATGTTTGATAGCATTTTATATTTTGATTATACGTACTAGTTGCCTTGCCTGACATTAATAGTCTTTTTTTTTCAATTCTCATTTCCTCAACACAAAAAACTGAAAATTTACTGTTGCATATTCTTATTTATCATTATTATTTTTCATATTTTTGGTGAACAGTGGTGGTAAAAAAGTTAGCAGCACAAATGGCACAGCATTGGCTCCATCTTCCAATTCCACAAATTCAGGATGCTTGGCACAATATTACAATGGTGGAACTTTAACAAGCTCTGTGATCCTTACTTTAATTTTGAGTATAGTTGTCATGTAAAACTAGACACATTACCTGTTCAGTGTTAGAATCTAATTTAATGGTGACACGCTCTTCAATTACCTTTTAAGAGATTTGATGCATACCCAATTTTGTGTTCCTCATGTAGAGGGTTTAAAGGGTGGCGAGGTTGGTCAAAATGTATATTGGCAATTGTAACATGACTTGTCCATTGAATTTTTGTACAAACGAACCAGGAGAATTTATTTAAATCGTTGATGTAATTACCTTGTTAGGGGGAAATATTTATAATCAGAAAATCTATTGAAGTGGTTGGTAATAAAGTTTATTGAAGGACCAAGATTTTGTGCGCTTAAAAAGTTACTTTAAAGAATCCATTTCCGTCTAAGATGCATCACGCTTACCTAAAAGGTTGAGTATTACAGATAAATAATTGAATTTCTTTAATAAGTTAACCAAGTTTGATTCTTAATCACATGTATAAATCGTATGTTAAGGAATTGCATTTACTTCGATAATTTGTAGGTCTGACGAAAGATTGTCCCATGACATCACACTTAAAATAGTCTTGGTGTTAAATGAGCCTCAAAGTCCTACTTTGTGTTCTTTTAGTATACAAGAGATTAGATGTGTTGGATTTTGAAAAGATAAACATGACTTAAAAAGATAATCATAAAATTATCTTATATATTGATTTAAATTAATAAAATGGTCAAATGATTTTTAAATTTTTTAAAAATTTACAGATTTGATTTATGCATTAAGAACTTTAAATTCAACGGTTGGATCGTTAAAAATTGATATAGGACATGAGTTATTGAACGAAGTAAGTTTAGACGGATCCCTCCTCTTATATAAATATTGATTAATTGGTTTCACTTTTATTTGCATAAACTTATATTTATTGTACTAGTAAAAGTTGAACTTCAATTTCCTCTTGTCCTTTTCCTTTTTATAAGCATCAAATGTTCAATTTAGGTTCAATTTAGAAGAGTTAATTAAAAAAAACTTATTTAAACTTATTTTATATTTTATTTTATGTTTAATAATGATAAATAGGAGATAACACTTTTAAGACTATTAAATAGGGAACTAATAACATATTAAGAATTGTTCATTTAATGATTAGTTGAAACTCAATAATATTAAAGAATATTATCGTAATTTAAAATTTTATTGAATATTTTCATTTAATTACTTTTCAGTTATAATACTTTATTTAACGTTTTAAAGTTTTTTCAGAGTTTAATATATTTCATCAATTCTTACTCGTGTACGTCAGTGTTTTTGTTGTTGTGTACGTTAGAAAATTGATTGTTGTAGTGCTGCAGGATTGTTTTGGATTTGTTGCATGATTCTAGTATGTGGTCACATGAGCACTACCAAGCCTATAATATGTGGGTGCTATCGAGAATAAAAATAGATACATATATGTGACACAATACATTAATAAAATTATCTCTTTTATTTTTTATTATTAAACATATTTTTGAAGTGATATTCTTTGACTTAGGGATTTTTCACCGTATGTGACGGGTTGTCGTATTTTAAAAGAAAAGCACATTATACATTATGTACTAGTATAGTAGGGACGTTACAAAATTAATTTATAATTGTAATGGAGACGTTTTCTCTCGAAGGATAACGTTTAACGTGCTTCAATCCAATTTTCTTTAAATCCTCTTATTATATTATTTTAGTCATTATTACTTAATTTTATCATTTATTAATGTTGATCTTGATGTAATTTCAGTGATAAATAACATATACTTTAATTTCTATTTTCATAATTTCAATAATCTTAAAGAGAAAAACATGATTCTAAAGAGAAAATCAAAATCCTTTTATAAAAATATTTATCATGAAAATAAAAATTATTACTTTAGATATCAATGATATGAATTGATTATAATTTGATGAACTTTATTTCGATGGACAGTGGATGAATGTTGAATAATGATGATATAAAGGGAATAAATTTTCTTGGAGAAGTAAATAAATTGTGCAATCATGTGGAACGTGAAAATGCAGAGATGATGGTAAAGAATGACAACTCAATGAAGATGATTGGTCATATGATTTAGTAATGGGAAGTCATTTGATTTAAATTAAATATTTAAATATTTAATTTTCTTTAATCTTTTAATTTAAAAATTGCTTACAGTTTTTCATAGTACTTTTGACCATGTTGAATTTTTCCATAGTTGGTTGTGGATAAAAAAATCTATGAGAACTAAGATGTTCTTATGATCTTCTTCAACCATATATAAGTGACAAAAATGGTCTCATGAAGAGTGAAATTATTTTCTTAAAGGAAATTTTGTTGATCCGTTTATAAAGAGAGAAACATACTAAATCGTTGAGAGGAATATGATTAAAGCTCATTAATTAGTCACAATGACAAATACCCGACTTTATGTAAATGGTGATCCCATGAATGAAATTCAATGGGTAATAACGAAGTTGTTTGTTAGTTGATATACACCAAAATTATTTATTATATAGAGATGTTTTAGTCCCTATTCCTATTAAACTATGACAATTATAAGGTTGATGTATTAAAATATTTTTATTTATTATGTTAAAATTAAAATACCTCTTAATGAACCTAAAGATAATAATTGTGGAGTGAAGGTCATAGGTTACCCTTTGAAAGGTTCACCTAGTGAATGTGGTGGTAGAACCACCACTTTGAACTATAGACAAATCTCTAAGTGACACTTGCAAAATAAGATACTTACACAAGGGCATAACACATTGATTATAACTCAAAAATGAACATCCACTCAAGTAGAAGTTCATATACACTAGGTATAAAGCTCAAACGTGGAAGATTCCTTATATTGAAAAAATATTTCATGCTATGTTAAAATTGTTTTTAAAGTTTTCATACAATTTTAATTCTTTATTTAAATTTTAAATTAGTGAGAGATTGTTAGAGAATATTATTATAATTTAAAATTTAATTGAATATTTCCATTTAATTATTTTTCTGTTACAATGTTTAATTTAATTATTTATTTAATGTTTTACAGTTTGTTAAGAGTTTAATATATTTGGCTAAAAACTTATTTTGGTCCCTTATAATTTTTTTTTGTTTCAAATTAGTCCCTTATTAATTTTTGGTTTCAATTTGGTCCCAAACTAATTAATAGGTTTCAATTTAGTCCCAAATTAATTAATTAATTTCAATGTGGGACTTCCGTCCAAATTATTTAAACGGAGTTAACTTTTGGCCACGTGGATGAGATTTTTTTTGAAAACATCTGGACCCGGAACGGCCCATTCTGAAACCGGAACGGGCCGTTCTGGTTGCAAAATTAAAACACCAGCAGTGAAGCAGAACGGGTCGTTCTGAAACCAGAACGGCACGTTCTCATTTCAGAACGGCCCTGGATTCCCGTTCCAAAACTGTGAATAAAATATTCTTTACTTAATTGTGTTTTTGATATTATAATTATGCAATTTTGATCTCTAAGGTTTTAATTGAGTAATTTCAGTCCTTAAAAGATTATAATTGTGTAATTTTAGTCTCACAATTTTTAATTGAACAATTTTAATCTCTCAAATATCATAATTGTGGAATTTTAGTCTTTCTCATTAAAAATTTAATAATTTTAAAATTTTAATATATATATATATATTGTTTTAAAACTATATAATTGTTTGTTTATTTAAATTAACGTATATTATTTTTTTTAATGTATCAAATGATATATATTTACTATTACTAAATAAATAAAATTTATATATTATTAGTATTTTAATATTACTGATAAATTAATATCAATAATATTTTTACCCTTTTTATAAATAAACTAATAATTTGATAAATATAACTTAATATATATTAATATACTTTTACAAAAATATAAATATATAAGATCAGATATATATTTCTAATTAATATACTTATATTTTTGTAAAAGTATATTAATATATAACAAGTTATATTTATCAAATTATTAGTTTATCTATAAATATATTAATAATATTATTGATATAATATCGAAAATTATAATATACGTTAATTTGAATAGATAAATAATTATTTAATTTTAAAACATTATATATATATATATATATATATATTAAAATTATTAATTTTTAATGGGAGAAACAAAAATCATACTATTATGATATTTGAGGGACTAAAATTGTTCAATTAAAAATTGAAGGACCAAAATCGCGCAATTGTAATTCTTTAAGGACTAAAATTATGCAATTAAAATCTTGGAGATCACAAAACTGCACAATTGTAATACTTGAGGGATAAAAAATGCAATTAAACCAATATTCTTAATTAATTTTATTAAAAAATATAATAATTAATAAGATAAAAGGAATATCACTTTATAATTTTTTGCAACTTATTTAAGATTAAAGGAATAAAATGATAAAAATTAATAAGATAAACATAATAAAATAAAATATAAAAAAATATTAATATATTTATTTTATTAGATATAATAACATAATTAAAATATAATTAATAATATATTTTATAAAATTGTTAATATTTTATATATAAAAAATTAAAATAAAACCGGAACGGCCCGTTCTGAAACAGGAACAGCCAGTTCTGAAACCGGAACGTCTCGTTCTGAATCCGGAACGGGCAATTCTGGTTGCATTTTCGGTGTGTTAATTTTTCACTTGGAACGGGCCGTTCTGGATGCAAAATTAACACACCAAAAGTGCACCTAGAACGTCCCGTTCCGGTTTCAGAACAGGTCGTTCTGGGTCCAGGTGTTTTCAAAAAAATTCTCATCCACGTGGCATCCACGCATGCATCTACGTGGCGTTCACGTGGCCAAAAGTTAACACCGTTAAAGCAATTTGGACGGAAAGTCCCGCATTGAAACCAATTAATTAATTTGGGACTAAATTGAAACCAATTAATTAGTTTGGGACCAAATTGAGACCAAAAATTAATTAGAGAATAAATTGAAACAAAAAAAGATTATAAGGGACCAAAATAAGTTTTTAGCCAATATATTTCATCTTACTCTTGTGTACGTTAATGTTTTTATTGTTGTGCACGTTAGAAAATTGATTGTTGTACTGTTGCACGATTGTTTTGGATTTGTTGCATGATTATAGTATTGTGGTCACATCTGCACTACTAATGCTATCGAGAATTAAAATACATAGATATATGTGACAACACAACAATAAAATCATCTATTTTATTTCTTATTATTAAATATATTGTTAAAGTGGTATTCTTTGGTTAAGAAATTTTTTGTTGCATATGATTGATACAATGAGTTGTTGTATTTTAGGAGAAAAACACATTACAAATTAATCTATTAATGTA